TTCATTTATGACACTGATGTCTTTTTGGACATGTGTGTGTGTGTTTGTAAGTGTTTTCATTGAAGTGGTTGACAGAAAAATGTGCAGTTACGAAGACACACTCTTGCTTTTCCTCAAAGGGAGTAAAGTGGATAACAGCCATGGAAAATACAACTAATTACAGAAGCAAGGGGCGGATGAACAAGTGGATGTGTTTGTATGAGATAGAGAGATAAAGACAAGGTCTGAGAGCGATACATAAAAGAAAGTGTGTGTGCGTGCGTGCGTGCGTGCGTGCGTGCGTGCGTGCGTGCGTGCTGGTCCATTTGTGGATGTGTGTGTCTGTCCTGATTATTTGCTGTTTGCCTTTTTGGCAATTTCACACTCTGGCTCCCATCAGGGAATGCCGAGATGGACTTGGCATGTTCGATCAATCAGCACACACACACACACACACACACACACACACACACACACACACACACACACACACACACACACACACACACACACACACACACACACACACTCACACTCACACAAAGCAGTTCAGAGCCATTAGCACTTCCTCCACCAGGAGTGATGATTTATTCTCCTCCCGCTGTGCTGATGGACTCTATAAAGCCTGGTGTGCCTCGGAAACACACACACACACACACACACACACACACACACACACGCACACACACACACTTATTTTTGTTTCTGTGCATTTTTCTCTCTTCAGCCAAATTACCTCTCATACTTCAATTGACATTCTTCGCCCTACAAATCAATTAGTTGCTTATAGTCAAATCTACCTTTCTTGTGTTTTGATAGTCGAGTGTGTTCATAGAATTGTATTTCTTGGGAGTTCAGACTTTTAATCCTATTTTATGTACTCACACATCTAACGATCATATGTTGGTTGCTGCGTGTGAGTGGCTGCAACGGTTCACTGTAAATGTCCTCTGCTGCCCATATGTACAGTGGTCCTGGTGAATAACTGTGTGGCAAAGGTCATAGCCATGTACTATTAAAGGGGGCTACTGTATGCTCCGCTGTATTTAAAGATCTTATATCATGTTGAATTTCTTCATACAGTCATAAGTCAGGTTTAACAGTTTAATCAACATCTGCTCAATGTTTCTTCTGTCACCATGATCAAAGCTTCCTCCTCAGGATAGATGTACTGTCTTGTAAAGGGAAGGGAGTTTCACCATTTCCTCATTTATCTCCAGAAAATATTTTGGGTCGCTTGTTTGATTTATTTATTTACTCATTGGCCAATTGACGCTTCCCTTGTTCAATAGTTAGCTGAATTTCAGATCATACATTTATCGTGATTTTGCGTCAGAGGGTTTCTCAACGAAATGCAGTTTCATTTACAGAAGGAAAACATTTCAAAAACACTAGTGCATTCCTGTAATGGCTTTCCTTCATTTGCATCATGTAACATGTACATACAGGCAACACACACTCACGTTTTCTACTGTCAGCTTTTCAATTTTCCATCCCTCTTTGCCTCTTCTCCTTACGCCTCTCTTTTTGTGAAGGGTTCTCTCCACACCCTGTAACAGCCCTTTGTGTGTTTGATGATACCCAGAGGCTGCCTGGATGTGTGAAGTACCAGTGTGCCCCCTCCCTTTAGCCCAGGGGAGCGCAAGAATTATGGGAGTGTAGTTTTAATGTCTCACTCACACACACACTCATCTTGACCTGGAGGTGAACTGTCTGCTCAGCTACTGTAGTGAACGCTGTGCTAATGGGATTTACTCCTTCAGACACACAGTTTGTTGGACTCATGCTACTTCCTGTCAATTTAGTTTTTTAAGGAGAAATAATGCTAACATGTAAAATAAAAGTAAATGTCAATGTATGCTGGATAAACAGTGCCCCATGCAAAGCGGTGGTCGGACATATTGATGTTTAAGCTGCAAACATCTTAATGTGATCCCGTTTGAAATGTTCTTAAAGTGCCATGTTGAATTATTAACCTCTATTAGAGACTATGGAGCAATGTTTTTAAATATGTACTGTATGATGGGAAATGCACGAGCATGTTGGAAATGCTTTGGACAAGAAAAGCGCCAGGATTTTTTTTTATTGTGCACTGCAAATACTACTGGCTAATAACACTTAGCAACTATCATCAAATTGCTTCCCTTCAGCCAATTTCGTCACAAATGTGTTGATCACACGTGGCATCATCAATGGGTGTGCCACAAGTGAGTTAACGATGTCCGAAATACATTTTTCTACCTTGCCTGGGAAGACGAGATGCTCTTAGTTCTGTCTCTGAAAGTACCCAAGTCACTGTAAAAGAAAACTATAACCTAATATATAATGTCATTTTTTAACCCTACTCCAGAATTAGTATCTGTTTTTTTCTGACATCTTTAATACGTTCTATTATTACATTTCTGCTTAATGTGGAGCTTCAGTTTTTTAGCTTGAATGGCTAGCTGTTGCTGGTTTGTGTCGAATAATATAACAAATCAGCAAACATATCCAATATAAAAAAATGTATCAATGGTAGCAGTTTTTTTAACCCTATTTTGGTGAAAAAGTACACGTTATGAAATATTTAAAAAAATCAAGTCAAGGGGTCCAGTATCTACATTTCTTTGTTGTTTGAACATCATATACTCTAAATAGACCTTTCTGATTCCAATCCACAGTGACAGTGTACTTGGAAATTCAGTGCAGGTTTGATTTAATGTGTTTTTTCGAGTGTGTCCGTGCAGTTACAGTAACTTTCCCATCAGACACTTGAAGAGTTTCTCTCATTAGGCACACATTCAGAGCTGTCCTCATTAGAGCAGTTGATTGGCATCTGAGAGGCTAATTAGCGGCGGCTGTATACAGGCTAACCCGGAACGTGACCTCGCCGTTTACCCGACTAATTTACTGTGTGAGCAGAGGAGCACGATGGAGGTGTGTGTGTGTGTGTGTGTGTGTGTGTGTGTGTGTGTGTGTGTGTGTGTGTGTGTGTGTGTGTGTGTGTGTGTGAGAGCATGTGTGTGAGCATGTGTGTGAGCCTGTGTGTGTGAGCCTGTGTGTGTGTGTGTGTGTGTGTGTGTGTGTGTGTGTGTGTGTGTGTGTGTGTGTGTGTGTGTGTGTGTGTGTGTGTGTGTGTGTGTGTGAGTGAGCCTGTCTGTGTGTGTGTGTGTGTGTGCGTGCGTGCGTGCGTGCGTGCGTGCGTGCGTGCGTTAACTTCCCTACAAGT